TCATGACTTCATGGGCCTATATCTCCTAATCCAAGCATTTTTTGGACATCAACCCTCAAGGATAAAGTTGTAGAATTCATCAAGCCCTACAACTTTCATGTTGAAAGTTTTCCTTGAATCAATTTTCATCTTAGTGAAAAATGGTCATGAAGTTGTGTATTTGTTAAAAATAAAACACTAATACTTAGAAAATTTTCTAAGTGTTGGAGAATTTTCTATCTTTGACTTTTGCTGACTTTGTTGATTCTTGATGATCAAAATTTATATTTTTTAATGTTTTGATGATTCTTGATCTTTGAAGTTCAAAGTTGACCAAAAAGTCAAAGTTTAACTTTTGTGTGACAGTTGACTTTTCATCAGTTGATCTCAATTCTTCAACTATCAATCTCTTGCACCTTTGGAAATGTCTTGAACCATGTAATTAGGTCAAGATGTTGTGTTTGAGTCCTTAAGATCATGTTTCAAGTCATTAGGTCATGTACTAGGTCAAGAGTTAATGATCAGTCATTCTCAGTCAAAACCCTAATTTTGACAATTTTATCCCTTTGATGATTTGAGTGCTTTCCTTGAGGAATTATGATCAACCCTTGATCAAATGATGAACATAACATTAAAATGTTGATGTTGGCAAAAAATCTTGAAGTTTGACAGTATGTTGACCACAATTGACTTTTTATCCAATATAACTGATTTTCAATCATCTGAGCTATTGACTGAGCAAATTTGTGATGCAAGACTTGAAACTTGGTATGAGCATTCTTAGAGACCTATTATGAACCATGAAAGTCACTTGAAGCATTAGAAGTCCAATTTTACTTGAGAAAACCAAAACCCTAGTTGGGGGCCCAGTGCTTAGGAGGTGAGCTTGTCTGATCAACTCTTGAGAATCCTTGAGCATTTGAGAATATTTGTAAGAAATGTCTTGAGATAAAGAGAGGGAAAATTTTTGGGTACAACAACATCCCTCAAATTTATGGTAAAACTCATGTTTTTTAGAATTTTGTGACTATTTACACGAGTATAATAGTAAAAGTATACTCTTTGGAGAGTGGCATGTATAACTGGGAGGCGAGATGTTAATTCTTCGAAGAATTTACATTTAGATGGTAATTGGGATGAAATGATCCGGAAGGAACAAAACTAAATTTTTTTGACAATAGAGAAGCAATATGAATACAACACCAATTGTCAAAGAAAATAATTGTTATAAAGATGTTATCCATTAATTATGAGAAATTAACAATGTCATCCTCTAAATTAAACATTGCAACCTCTCCAATTTTTTTTATTTCACTTTTATCTTTGGATGAGATGCATACTATTTTCGGATAAAATTTTTGGTAGAAGGATTGAAATTTCCGGTACACCCCTACAAAATTTCTGGTATGCGTAAATTTTCGGTAGTGTATTTAAAATTTCTAGTGTACCAGAAATTTCAAATTAACTGAAATTTCTAGTAGTTATAAAAACATGATTTTTTTAAACAATTGATATTTTACCGAAATATTTGGATGGTTCTGATTTCTGGTAGTTATAAAAATATGGTTTTTTAAACAGGTCTAACACCACGACGGCGGGGTGCGCGAAACTGCACCTGTTGCTCAGCCATCCATTTCTAATGAAAATCAATCGGAGGACGGCGTCCACCCCGTAGCTCTGAAGCATGCGCCTCGTCAGCTCGGGCTTCAACATCAGCTTTATCAGTGGTCCGTCCCGCAATAGAACCATCTCTGCCTCTGGTCCTCACTACAAAATAAAAAAATATTAGGAAATATAAACTATCAGAATTTTTAAATTTTTGATATTTAAAAAAAAATTGAACTATCGAAAATTTCAAAGTTTCTGGTATTCTGTGACGTAGTAGAAATTTCAAAATTTCCGATATAAATAGTAAATGAAAATATCGGATATTTTGAAATTTTTGATACGAAAATACTGGATATTTTAAAATTTTCGATACAAATATCAGAAATTTCATAAATCTACTGTAAATTCTTATTTGTTCACGAAATTTCCAATATCGCTCAAAATTTTAAAATATTCAATTGATCACATAAATTTAAAAGATGATAAATAATTTGAGTTTAGATAATTTGATTATTTTCGTACTATTTAAAAATGCCATATATAATGTGGGATGGCAAGTTAATTTCTCATTAATTATGGGATTCTATTTGCCTTTTATATAGTTCTTATAAACTTGTCCGAGTACTTCATAAAATTATGAGTTTAAAAGACTTGTATAAAGGGGCTTTATCGAGTAGCCTCTTAATTCTGTCCTTAAATTACTGTTCTTTTTTCCTATTTGATAGTATTTGAACTAAAACTAATATAATAAACATTTTATAAACTAGCTAATTTCATGTATTAAAAATTACTTATGAACTATTATTATATTTTCAAGTTTAAAAGCTGAATTATAGAGTGGTGGTATTTCAAGTAGGATGGTGGTATATAAGAATTGGTTTGTAAAAAACTCCAAATTTTGGTTTGGAAAAAAACTCCAAAACTTATGTGAAATGACTCCAAATTTTGGTTTATAAATACTCCAAAAATTATGTGAAATTTGTTTGCATAACCGTTATTTTGGTACAACAATTTATCAATTAAATCTAAAAAATATTATGATAAGTTATTATTTCATTTTCTTAAGGAAAATTATTATGTCGTAAGAACTATATTAAAAGATGGAAAAAACATCACGCCATTAATTTTTATTATATTATAAATAGCAGTAACTACAAATTTCTTGAAAAGAAAATTTCTTTTATTATAAATAGCACTAACCACAATTTTTTATGATAGGAATAAGATTCTTTTAAATATTTGATAATTATTTTGGGTTTAATATATTTTTTTAATAAAATTATTAAAATTTATTTTTAATTCTTATAAATAAATGATATATTTTTGTTTTACAAAATTATTATACATATAGTTTTAGTCTTTAAAGTTAAATTAATATATTTTTAAATATTTATTTTGTACTCTACAGCTAAATTAATATATTTTTAAATAATTTTTTTCAAATATGTTAAGAGCGTTAAAAGGATGTTTGAAAAAAATTTTAAAATTTCATTTTAAATTAAAATTTATATTATTTTTATCATTATTTTTTGAAATTAAAAAAAATTATATTTAATTCTTTTTATTTTAAAAATTTTAAAAATTTAATAAAAAATATTTTATAATATTTAAAAATATTTAAAAATTTAAAAGTTAAAAGATAATTAAAACGACTTTCAAAATTTAAAAAAAAAAAATTAAAACTGAATGCACAAAAATTTTATATAAATTAAAATATATTATTTTTTTATAAAGACTAAAAATAAAATTTAAAATATTTATATAGATTAAAAACATATTTAACTCAAATATTTTTTATAATTTTTTTGAATTAATATTCATGTATGAAGATATATAATATTTTAAGATGCACCTAATCAAATCATTTTAATTTTTGGTTAATTTTAATAAATATTTTAAAAAGTATTTATTTAATATGATTTAATTGGATAGATGTCTAAAAATATTTTATATTATAAATATTTATATCTCTTTTTTTATTAAAAATAGAATATCAACTATGATTTTCTAATACATGTTGCAAACATGTATCTTTAAAACATTTAAAAACAATTTTTATTTACTGAAAATAGTAGCTAAGGCAAAAGTTGAATAAATAATTTCCAATATAAAACTTCCATATTTTGCTCATTAGGAATTAATGATTTTCTTTTTTATATTAAACACGAGACTAAATTCATGAAATTAAATTACTTTTTTCTATATATGTAGAATACAAAATTGGAAAAAGAATTTATATATATTAAAAACTCAAACTTTTTTAGTAACTTTTCCCTCGTAAACGCACCAGTCTGAAACAAAGTCTGCTCTTTCTCCGTTCAAGCTCATCGTTCAGTTGGTTCAACGTCGGTGGTTCCGGTGGTGTCAGTCTCACCGGCGCGGTGGTGGTAAGTTTTGTTCATTCTTGACTTCTGTTATTAGCCTATTAATAGATCCAATTTTTGTCAAAAAAAAGGTTTAGAATGATAGAACTTCATTGTTGTTGATTTCATTTGCTCATTGTTGTTGATTTGCTCTAAATTACTCATTGTTGTTAAGGTTTTGTGTTGTAAAGATTTATGCAATTTTGGTCGGTATAGGTGGTACACTTATTGCGGTCTCTGTGTTTGTTGCTTAATTAGTTCCTGCTTATTTTTTGTGAAAACTACAAAAGGCATAATAATCAGTGTTGTATTTGAGGGATGTCGACGAGTCAGTGTCGTGTTTCCGGTGTATGTGCTTCATAGCTTTATTACTTGTTGATTTGCTCAAAATTGGAGATTATTGTCAAATACTTGTTGATTTGCTCAAAATTGAGGATCATTGTTGATTTGCTCAAAATTGAGGATCGATGTTGATTACTTGTTGATTTGCTCAAAACAAGTCCAGATGCTAACTTGTTCCACAAGTATCACTTGTTTAGTTAATATAGTTAGTGGAAATTACTTAACTTAGATATGGTAGTTATCAAGTTTGTTAGGAGCTATGATTGTATAGAGCAAACCTACCATAACTATTCTACAACAATGCTTCTACTATATAAACTTCATGTAAGTCACAATGATAATCAATGAAGAATTTCTATCACATTAAAATCATTGTTGATTACTTGTTGGTTTGCTCAAAATTACTCATTGTTGTTCGATTTCTTGTTAATTGGTTCAGAATTTCTCTTTTCTGTTGCTTGGTTTGTCCATTGTTGTTATTTGCTCATTGATTTGTTGCTTGATTTTTCCCTAATGCCTTTGTGGTTTGTTGCTTAATTTGTCCGTGATTATTTTTCTTAATATATGTGAAAATTGTAAAAAGAGATTATAATAACGGATATAAATGGTGTATATTTTTATGATTATCAAGGTTTTTTGGGCATGATTACTACACTAATTTAGTTTTAATACTTCCTTTTCTTATATTTGCAGCTGCTATTACCAAACATGGCTAATGAAAAAGTGGATTTTAGTTTGAAGGTGATTTCTCCCAACATTGGAGCCAATAACATTACAGGAAATGGGGGAATCACAACTGAGTCCGACCTTGTTGAAATCAATCTCTTCTTATTTGTAAAAATTGTCAGAGCTAGAAATTTGTTTGTGCAATATGTCCATTACAATTTTGCTCCTTATGTGGAGGTGAAAGCTGGGGATTTTCAAGGGACAACCTTGTGCTACAGAGACAACTATGATCCACAATGGAACCAAGTCTTTGCCCTTGACAAAGATAAAGTTGAAACCGAAGAGATAACAAGCGTTGAGATTCTCGTGAAGGATGATGCTCTTAGGCCGTATGAATATATGGGTAAGATTTCATTGGATGTTTCTGATATTTCTACAAGGTTTCCATCTGATAGTGCTCTAGCACCACAATGGCATGCACTAGAGGATCAATGCGGGAGACGTTGTATGGGGGAGCTTATGATGTCTTGTTGGATAGGAACTCAAGCTGATGAATCATTTCATGAAGCTTGGCATTTACAAGTAGGTGTTGTGCAAATTGGTTCTCATAATTTTGTTAATACTTGCTCAAGGATATATATTATGCCCAGGATTTGGTGTCTTAGGTTTAATTTGATTCAAGTTGAAGGGCTTATGCTTGAAGCTGACATTTTCATCCAAGCTACTTTGGGGAATTGGACTTTCAATACCAAGTTGGCGAAAAGCAATGATGGAAACGCAATATGGAATGAAAAAGATATTTTATTTGCTGTGGCTGAGCCATTAGATCAGATATTAGTTTTGAGTGTGGAGCAAGGAACATTCACAAGGCACAAGAGGTTAGGGAAATGTGGATTTTCTGTGCAGAATGCAGCCATGATATTTGATGGTTCCGCCCCGTCTGCGAAAACCATTGATGTTATACAGAACCATGAATTCGTCGGTAAGCTTAGTATGAGGATCTGTTTGGACGGCGGGTATCATATGTTTGACGAAGATCCACGGTACACTAGTGATGTGAATCCAACATGTGATTTATTATGGAGACCAACCATTGGAGTTTTTGAGTTGGGGATATTGAATGCTACAGGGCTTTCAGCGATGAAACCACACGGCCGCACTGATGCCTATTGTGTGGCTAAATATGGATCGAAATGGGTACGGACGAGAACCGTTGTTAATAGTCTTTCTCCTAAGTGGAATGAGCAATACTCTTGGGTTGTCTATGATCCATGTACATTTGTCACAATTTCTGTGTTTGATAATAGTCAATTACATGATGGAAATATAGCTACAGAAGCAAGGGATATAAGGATAGGGAGAGTGAGAATCTCTCTATCAGAAATGGAAACCGGTAGAATTTACATCTATTCTTATCCTCTTGTTGAACTTCAACCTTCTGGCCTGAAGAAGATGGGGGAACTTCAATTAGCTTTCAAGTTTACTCGCAATAGTATGCTTAATGTGTATAAAATGTACACATTGCCAATGCTTCCGGGACAACATACGTCTGATCCGCTGTCTCCAATTCAGTTCTATGCATTAAGGAAACAGACTATCATGCTTGTGTCATCACATATGAGCAAAGCTGAACCACCATTGAGAAGAGAGGTTGTTGATTATATGCTAGATTCACGTGAAATTGTGTGGAGTATGAGAAGATGTCGAGCTGATTTCGATAGGATCAACGCCTTTGTAAGTTGGTTTGTTGGTATCTACACTCAATTTGACGAGATACGCATGTGGAAAAATCCTACTTTAACAACTATAATTTGCCTGGTTCTTTATATTTTGATTATTCACCCTCAACATTTGTTGCCAGCAATGTTTTCCTGTCTTATCCTGCATATGCTGCAGAAGCTTGTAAAGAAGCCAAAAATACTATCTCATGTAAATTTGCATTTGTCTCATGTTCATACATCGAGTGTAGATGAATTGGAAGAAGAGTTTGATCCAATGCCTTCGAAATTCGAAGACGTCATTTTGAGGCATAGATATGATCGATTAAGAGTAGCTGCTGGGAGACACGTAACGCAGATGGGCGAGTTTGCCACGAGAATAGAGAAATTGCAGTCTCTTTTGAGTTGGCATGATTCAACAGCTACGTTTATAGTTATGAGTTTGTGTCTGGTAGCTGGAATTGTGACTTTGGTTGTTCCTTTTAAAGCTATTGTCTTTGTTTGGTTGCTACATTTGCTAAGGCACCCGATATTTCGGTCACCCTTTCCTCCCTCTTATGAAAATTGGCTTAGAAGAATGCCTTCAAAATTAGATAACATGATATGAAAGTGCAACTCTGGTTCTTTTTTATTAGGAATTAGGAATGAGTCAACATTGATGTAAATTTAATCTGCCTAGTTTTTTGTTTTTAGTGATTAAAAATTTCTATTTAGTTTTATCATCTCTCTTATAAATTCATATTTTGGGCATCATGTATGATTTTTTACTTGCTGTGGAAGTAATCTCTGCTATTTAACTTGGGTTTTTGGAATCTGTGATGCTTCAAAATGATATCATTATCTTCTATTCTCTTGTGAAGATTCAAAATACAAAAACAACGCTGAAATTGTAATGCCTTTGCTTAAATGATTATGGCATAGCTTCAAAGCCAACTTCAAAAATTACAGCAATCTGCTATATATTTCATGAAAATTACAGCAACTTCAAAAAGAAATGGTCCTACTAGACATAAGAGTATCTTATATGATGCCAAAATGTTTTGTTCCTTTGTGAGATTATAAGTTCTAACCAATCCCAATAAGCCAAAATGTCTAAAAAGATTTAACATGTTGAATGAAGAGGGAGTGGAAGCCACAAAAACACTTGGCAAAATCTTATTGGTTACTGTGATTTTTTAGATTTTTATTTCATCATAATTATTTGAGCTCAATAATTTCATAGTAAATTAATTTATTTATTTTTACTTTTTTTCATCAAAATCCTTTTTTTTTCTTCTATAAATAGAAGTTTGGTTCATTTGACTTAGACACAGAAAAAATTAACTTTATTAAACAAAAAATATTTTAAAAAATAAGAATATGAAATAAAAGTGGTGGAGTATGATGTTGAATTTTATTAAATAAAACTATTGTAGTGAGTAAAAATTGAATGGGTGTTGAATTATTAGGTGGAAGAGAGAAGATGATATGGAATGTAAAAAGTGAAAAAAAAATGTTAAATATGTAAACTATTATACAAATCTTAGGACAATAAGTTTAGTTTTTAAGATAATTGATTTTGCCATTTAAAAAAAAGTAGCACCAAAACTTGTTGCGCATTTGACTATTATTTCTTTATAATCGTAAATATTATATAAACTATCCAATTATGAATGTAAAAGATATATCAAATTTAAAAATTATAATCAACCCTTAAATAGTATTTTAATCTTCAATAAATATATATTATTGCATGTAAAAATTAGTTTTTGAATTTAAAAAATAGGAATGTAAAAAAATTGTAATATTTTAAACAACCATGAAATTTTTTAAAGAGTAATACTACATCCAACACTATTCACCGTATAAAAACGGTGAATAATTTTTTTAATTAAAAATATATTTATGAACGGTAATATATTATTATAATAATATATTTTAAAAATATATATTTTTTAATAGTAAAATAAAATTGGTTAACGAAATATAAAAAATTGATTAATGAAGTGATGAAGTTAGTTAATAAATGTTCAGATATTAAAAATAATTTAGTAGTAAAATAAAGTTGGTTAATATAAAGTAAAAAATTAGTTAATAAAGTATTTAAGTTGGTTAATATACATTCAGATATCATAAATAATTTTTAATAGTAAAATAAAGTTGGTTAATGAAGTGTAAAATGTTGGTTAATGAAGTTATGAAGTTGGTTAATAAACATCCAGACAATTTTTACTATTAAATTATTTTTAATATTTTGACATTTATCGACCAACTTCATTATTTCATTAACTAATTTTTTATACTTTATTAATCAATTTTATTTTATTATTAAAAAAAGAAATAAACAATTTTTTTAAAATATTATTATAATAATATATTACTATTTATAAATATATTTTTTATTTAAAAAAGTACTATTATAAATATAAATACGGTGAATAGTGTTAGATGTAAAGATAAGAATATCATTACTCTTTTTTAAAATAGAAATAAAATAGTAAAATGTAGCTAACTATTTACTACTAGAATGCGAAAATATAGAATTCTATGCGAAAGCAAAGCAAAAACTTCTCCACAATTCGCACTTCTCTCTTTGCTATTGTAACCGTTTCGTTCTCTCTGTGATTCTCAAGTCGTAGCGGTTCTTCCCAATTCTTTTTCTCGATACGTATTTTCTCTCTCACTCACACTAAAGGATTTGTTGATAAAGAATTGATTTAGGTCAAATTTAATATTTAATTCTGTTATATTCTTGAAATCAGAATAATGGCTGGAAATACGTGTGTGACGACAATGGTTGTTCTATGGTTTCGTGATTGCAGAGCTTGTTCGGCTCAAGACTTCTATGTCAGCTACTTTGGAGCTATTCGTGGGACTCGTGTACTTAACCGGGACGGCTGGTGAACTGCCTGCAGTATGTCAGATTTTCACACTGCATCAAATTTGTGGTTTACTACTTCAATCAATACTTAATAAATATAATAAGGTTTTATAACTCTCTAGTACCAACCTCTAAGAAAAGACATGTCAGTGTCGGTGTCTGAAATTGACACCGACACTTGTGATTAAATTTAATTAATTTATTTTTTAAAATTATTACTGGTGTTACCGTGTCACTATCGTGTTTTCAGATTCCGTTCATCATTATTTGTAACTCATTAATTTGAATATGTTGTGTTAGTAGTCCTAAAGATAAGGTTTTACAAGCCATGATGTTCACTTTTTCTTAGTATGCTTGGTTATGAATATGATTTATAAGGCTACGTTAGGATATCAACCTTCAATTTTTCTTGTTTTTTATGAAATACGTATCGTTGTTATTGATGTTTTTGTTGAATTTTTTAGTCTTATTACGTACATATGCAAACATAAACATTAGACATTGTTGGAACAAACTTAACAAGAACAAGATCAATCTTCTCTTGATTGATACAAACACACAAGTGTAATCACTCTTCACTTGAGTGATACTCACACACAAGGCTTTGTTCAAGTTTGTTCTTAATCTTCACACTTTAGAATCGAGAAGAAAATAGAAATTGGAAGGAAAAGAAAGTATATTGCATTAGCTGATTTTACAGAGTTTGAGTCCTACATATATATATATATATATATATATATATATATATATATATATATATATATATATATATATATATATATATATATATATATATATATATATATGTGTGGAGATTACCTGTTCACTAAGTAATCTCCTCAAAGTCTAACTAACTTTCTAAAATCAAATTCTGTTATGCAACAAAATTTTACAATAATCTTTCTTAAATATCTATATTAAAAAGCGTGTTGGGGGAGTTATTAAGAGCATTGTTACAAAGTGTGAGTTACACATTTGGGGGAGTTCGCTTAGACAACTTTGTGAGAGACACACCACTTATCCACCTATCCACCTAAAATCTTAAGGTGATAGGTGAGTGGATTCTCTCACTTATATATGTTCAAGTCACCACATTCATATCCAATATAGAACTATTTCTCCACTTGCATTATTATTCTAACACAGACAAACACCTTATGAAGTTTATGGTCAAAATCCACACAGATCAAGATCTTCGAGAGTTGATGAAGGACTTGAAAACAGTTAGAGCAAGTTGATGCTTATCATCCTGAAGGCTAAACCAGATTAACAAACTTATAGTTCTTGATGCATTTGGATTCAGCTGGACCATTGTGAGTATGGACCAGAGGATGTCGACCCACTTTCACTGTGAAAATTTTGATTAGAAAGAAATCTTGTTTGGTTTGATTAAATTATGTCGCTTTACAACTAACATACATGTCTAAACTGCGGTAAATAATTTGACGTTTTCACTTTTATTTATACTTATTTGAATTTGTGAATTCGAACCAAACCTCACACACCACACATAGAGAAGGTAGTGGAGAAAAAAACAGATTTGGTTTGGTTGATCTTGGCACAAAAGGGGTAATTTATCGTTTCCAAGCAAATGAATGCAATGAGGCAACATTAACATGTAATCGATCAAAAAGTTTACAATATCTGTCTGTGATTGTTGATAGCATAGGAGTAAATAAACTCTCATTGTTATTGATAATGAAAGTATAGATAGGATTATATACAGGTTTAGTTATGTAACTAACTCAAACAGAATGTTTGACTGCCTTAACAAACTCTTAACAAACTAACTAACTATATACAAGTTAATACCCTCCCTCAAGTTTAGCTGTACAAATTTCTCAAACTAAGCTTGGACAATAAAAGCTGAAACTGTGGTGTATGGAGAGCCTTTGTATGTAGATCAGCTAACTGTGCATGAGTAGGAATCGGCATGAGCTGGATGATTCCTTGTTGCACCTTGTCTCTAACCAAGTGGCAATCGATTTCAATGTGTTTCGTTCGCTCATGAAATGTGGGATTCTGAGCTATGTAGATAGCTGACAAATTGTCACAAAACAATGCCACTGGTTTCTGAATTGGTTGCTGAAGATCCTCAAGAAGATACAATAGCCATTGTATTTCACAAACTGTAGTGGCCATTGCTCGATATTCAGCCTCTGAAGAAGATCTAGAAATTGTATTCTGCTTCTTTGATTTCCAGCTAACCAAGGAAGAACCATAAAACAAATTATACCCTGTAACTGATTTTCTGGTATCAACACAGGAGGCCCAATCTGAATCACAAAATCCTGTAAGCTTATGAGAAGATTCAGCTGAAAAGAATAAGCCTTGACCTGGTTGTTGTTTAAGATATCTCAAAATTCTCATGGCAGCTTCATGATGATCCTTCATTGGGGTAGAAAGGAACTGACTTAAGGTGCTCACAGCAAAGGACAAGTCAGGCCTGGTGTTTGTAAGATATAGTAACCTCCCAATGAGCCTTCTGTAACCTGAAATATCAGAGAAAGGTTGATCTGTGACAGCTAGAAGCTTTGTGCCTGGCACCATTGGTGTACTAACAGGTTGACTAGCAAGTAATCCAGCCTCTTCAATCAACTCCAGAGCATATTTCCTCTGAGATAGCATCAAGCCCTCTTTAGATCTGGCTACTTCAAAGCCTAGAAAATATCTGAGATTGCCCAAGTCTTTAATTTTGAGCTGATTGTCCAGAAACTGTTTGACCTTGGTAATCTCCTCTAAATCAT